CTTCTTCTTCTTCTTCTTCTTCTTCTTCTTCTTCTTCTTCTTCTTCTCTCTTTCTCTTGAAATTGTTTTTGGGGGGCTGGAGAGATGGCTTTGTGGTTAAGAACACTGACTGCTCTTCAAGGGTCCCTGAGTTCAATTCCCAACAACCACATGGTGGCTCACAGTCATCTATAATGTAGACCTGGTGCCCCCTTCTGACATACGGGCACACATGGAAGGAATGATGTACACATAATAAATAAAAAAACTTAAAAAAAAAAGAAATTGTCTTTTGACACATGGATTCTCCATGTAGCACTGAGTGTCCTAGAACTCACTCTGTAGACCAGGCTGGCCTCAAACTCACAGAGATCCACATACCTCTGCTTCCTGAGTTCTAGAATTAAAGACACGTACCGCCGCTGCCTGTCTGTAATTCCTTATACTGACTGACTTAGTCCCTGTTCTATTGTTGTGAGGAGACGCCATGGCCAAGGAAACTCTTATAAAATAAAACATTTGGCTTGTTCACAGTTGCAGAGGTTTAGTCCATTTATCTTCACGTTGGGAGCATGGTGGCATGCAGGCAGACCTGGTGCTTTTATAGCTGAGAATTCTACAAACAGATCCACAGACAGCAGGAAGTGAGAGACCCTGGGCCTGCCGTGAGCTATTGAAACCTCAAAGCCCACCCTCAGTGACACACTTCCTTCAACAAGATCACACCTACTCCAACAACACCACACTTTCTAATCTCTCTCCAGTAGCCCCACACCCAGGGCGTCAACATATGGGGCCGTTGCTATGCTATGCCAAACCAGGATGCTTACTGTTTATGATGCTCTGGCTCCTTACACATACATAATGAAGTCTTTATACATGCCTTATTAGGTTGAGATCTTCTGAATCCATGTCAAGGAGGTGGGACAGGCACGTATTTAGCTAACATGAGTGTGTTTTCAGTGTTGATAGAGAAAGGACTTGAACCCAGAACGTGACAATCCATGTCTTGCTTTCAGATGACTAAGCTCCACTATCTTAAAGACACAACCGCATTCCCTCCTCTTTATAGTACATGTGTGCATCATAGTCTCTGTGTGTTATAAATGGTTCTCTGTTTCCATGGCACTGCCTGTGCCTAGTACCAGGTCCACATATTAGTAAAAGCACTGGGATCCTCTGTGATGCCAAAGGACCACACCCTCCTTTCTTCTGCAATATCCTTGTCCTATCAGGACCTGGAATCCTGCCTGCTCCCAGCCCTGCTGTGTGTGTCTTTGACACCCGTTCTTCTCCCTGACTCCTGGACTTTGTGGTGCTCCTAATCATTATGCAAATAGTGATACAAAGAATGTTCTCATTGCCTGTTGTAGAGCCTGCATTTGTGCTAATTTCCTCATGACATTTGTAGGAGTAGAAGGACTGGGCTAAGGAGCGTTAACACAGGCAGTGTGTGAGGACGCTCATTCCTTCATTCTGACCAGTCCTCAGGAGTCTTTCAGGGTGGGAAAAGACTTCATAAAGGGAGAAACGCACACTGCACTGGGATTGCCTGGAAGCTGAGGAAGGAAAGAAAACATGTTTAGCAGTGTGGGTCTGAGGCATCAACTTCTCCTGGGACCTGACCAAAATAAGAGTGAATGACCTGTTGGTGTGGGAAGAGCTGAAGATACTGTTGGCTCACTCTCAGGACCACACTCTGACCTTGTAACTGACAGATAAGTGTTCTGCCCAAACCCTCCAAGTGTGTACGTAGCCTAGGCTGTCCTCAACCTCACTGTGTAGTCCTGGAGAACCTTGAACTCCTAATCTTAGACCTGTCCCATCCAAGTGTTAGGATCCCAGTTTTGTATCCCTCCCCCCACTCAAGCCTTTTCATATTTGCACCAATTTATAATGAAATGGAAAGAATATTTCAAAAGACCTAAGAGCCAGTCAGAGTCTTACACACAGCAGGTGTTCGGAAGTCCCCTCCCCAAAGTGAAATCTGGAGTCAGCTCCTCAGGGCCAGCATTCTTCCTGTTCAGTCCCTTCCTTTTAAGGGACTTGGGACTTAAGGTGACAGGAATGGAGTCATCTCATCATTCAAAGGTTAAAAAAAAATCACATTAATATAGAGATGCATCTTAAAACTAACTTACTGGCCAAAGAATTTAAATATCTGAAAGATGCCCATTGAACCAGCTCTGGGTACACATCCCTCTGTAGCTGTTGGGTGTGGAGGATGGTAGAGTTTTGTAGGATAGATAACAACAACCAACCAGGATGGTAACACGCTCAGGTGGAGCCATAGCCACCCACATGTGTAGCAGGCAGACATCAGAGCAAGTCCGTAGAAACCTGTGCTGGGGTGTGAGGTGCAGGTCAGAGTAGCTTGCATAAGGCCAAATGAGGGTGAGAAGTGACGATCTGTGTTAGTCAGGATCTCTAGAGTAACAGAACTTACAGAATAAATCCCTCTACATAGAAGGGGGTTTGTTAGAACGACTCACGGACTGTGGCTCAGCTTGTCCAACAGTGGCTGCCTACGAACGGAAGGCTGAAGACTCCAGACGCTGCTCAGTCCTCAAGGCTGGGTATCTCAGCTAGTCTTCAGTTTATGCCGGAATCCTGAAGAAGGAGGCTCTAATGCGGTAAAGGTATGGACTTGTTAGTCAGGCAAAAATAAGGAGGCAAAGATCAACAACTGCCTTCTTCCATGACCTTATATAGGCTTCCAGCAGAAGGCGTGGTCTAGATTAGTCAGGGTTTCTCGTCAGAAGATCTGTATTAAAGAAGAGCCTTTCCACAATAATGATCCAGCTCAGAAGTGCATCTTCTCACTTCAAATTAAGCAAAATTCCCTCACAGGTTGCCCCATATTTGGGTTTTAATTGAATTCCAGACGTAGTCATCATCACACACTAACCCCAGGAGGTGCTCTGCCACCCAGACTCAGAAACTCAGTGTTAGGGAAAAAAAACCTTTTGAAAGCCCATAAGACAAATGTTGAAACTCAGCTTCATGGAGCTAAGGCTGACTGGGAAGTATGTGTGTGCCTGTGTTTACATGCACTGTGTGGGGATGTTGTTTAAATTAGTTCGAGTGAAAACACTTTATATGTTAACCATCTACACCCTGAGTCCTCGACTGATCTGGGATTTGGGGTCTGGCTTCTTCCCTCTGAGCATCTCCAGCATCAGAGACAAGCTCATTCTTCCTGGTACCCACTTTCCTATGGCCTCTGTGGCATGTGTGCCAGGCATCTAGCTACCAAGCAGAGCAGTGCCCTGGTAGGGATGAGCAGAGCAGACAAGCCTAGACCTGTTTATCTGACGAAAGAGAGAGATTCCGAGAGGGGAAAGTACTGTGCACGATGTCACACAGCTGATTCTGACTTTGTGGGTTTTTTTCTTTTTTCTTTTTTAATAATTCCAAGGTTTCTAGAATGCTCTTTGTTTGTATGGACACATAGCTTGCCCCTGCCTTGGCTCTGCCCTTTGATCTTTCAAACACACAGCTTATGGCACTGTTTACAGGATCGTGCACCTTGCCCTCCCTGTCCCCAGGCTGGCACTCTTTCCCACCCAGCACACAGAACAACCTTGGCCTTCTCTCTGCTGCCCCACAGACTGAAGAGAGGCTGGCTAAGACCAGGGGGTGCAGGCTGGACATCCACTGACTTCCTTCCTTCTAGTATCTGGGACAGGGAACTCTTTTCTGGGCCTCAGTTTCCACCGTGGAGCCTGGCACAGACACATATACTGAGAGATTCACAGTGCAGTCTCTTTGATTCTCGAGTCTCACAAATCCACATTTGCTACCATCTGTTCCTATGGCAACACCTTAGGAAACTCAAGGGTGGTCATGACACAAGGATGTATGAACTCTGGGTTCTCTGCTCTCTCCTTTCACATCTTCAATTACTCCATTTCCCAGAGGGCACCCACAACAGCCACCTTCCCTCTGAGGTGCTGTAGTCATAAATCAGGCGGTCTGGAACTAAGTTGAGCCCCTAGGTGATCATATCTGAGGGGTTTTCCTCAGTCTCTTGTCCTGACTTTTGAGGGTGAGATAAAAACAGCCAGATTCCTATCTGGATGCAAGTTTAGTCATAGGCAGATGAACATGTGAATGGGCCAAAGCCTAAATTGGGTTTATAAAATGGGGCAATCATTTTTTTCTTTTTTTTGAGTTGCTGTGGCATTGGAAGATATTTCTCTACTTATGTAAGAATCTTCTCCCGGCACAGTTACATGGGACACAGTGGTTCTTAGCAGTTTGTCCAGTTCCCAGTTCCAACCAGAGGTAAGCTCTGGACCCATGTTCCCAGCCTGAGAAGGGTAAGTGGAGTCACACATTCTGAGCAGCTGATGATCCAGGGGACCCCTCAGACAAGCCACTCTCTTGGTGTCGCCCTCTGCCTTGCCATCTCTAATACCCACTCAGAGGAGCAACCTCAGGCCCTTCTCATCTCATAGTGCTTGATGAGTCTTTGTGATCTCAGCCACCACTGACTGTGGGACCCGCTATGGATCACTCCCTAGCTCTGCTGGGCCCTGTCTGTCTTTCATGTATAAGCCCCTCCTCTCCTCACATTGGTACAGACCCTGACTCCAAGCTCAGTAACAAATGTGGATGGCGTTATGGTAAAGGTAAAACTGGGGCCATTTCCCGAGTGGCCCATGGGCCACAAGGGGCAGTGGATTCCAGGCAGGGAGCCTCTTGGCAGGTGAAAGTGAGCAACCTATTAGGCACACCATGCAGAGGAAGTGGGTATTTATTTAGTGGGTTATTGAGGGGAAATGAAAATGGGGAAAAGGGAGAAGGGAGAAGAGCAGAGAGAGGGAGAGAGAGAGAGAGAGAGAGAGAGAGAGAGAGAGAGAGAAACAGAGAGGGTAGGGTAAGGGGAGAAGAGGAGAGAGGCAGAAGCTGCCTCTTCAGGAGAGAGAAGGAAAGGAAGGGACTCAGGCTGGAAGCCGAAGGAAGATCTGCTTGCCTCAGTGGACAAGGGAGTGAGTGGGTGGGGCTTGTCTCTTAGAGGGACAGGACAGACCATTAGAGATGGTGCAAATAAAAGTGTCCAGAAGGAATCCCAACTGAGGCTTCTAAGAGCCTAAGTAGCTCATAAGAACTTCAATAACAGTGGGGAGGCTGGAATGTTACAGATCAAGAGCCTAATGACACTTTGTCTCTGACTGTCCTTAGTCCCCTGAATATCCATTTATTGCCACTGCTGTGTTGGATTTAACACACTCCATGACTAAGATCAAAAACCATTTGGGACTAACACAGCAGACCACTAGGTTCCTCTGACCCACAAACTAAGAACTTCTGCAGATGACATCTGAGGTCTGTAACCCTCTCCAATGTTTCCCCAAATATCTCGGAAATGTATTCATTTATGGTTTTTTGTTTCTGTTGCTATAAAAGCTTAATAATGGTTACCATGTTGAAATGTGGTCTTTGTGGTACCCTAAATCTGTATTCCTGGGTCATGGTCCTTCCTATTTGCCTCCAGAATAAACTGTATCTTTTCCCCTTTGAGGTGAGAGTTGTATTTTTTTTTGTTGACAACAGCAATGAGCAGCTGCCTTTCAACCCTAAGCCGAGACTTGGGACTTGATGTCAATTCATGTACTGCTTTTGTGGGAGCCAACCTTGGTAGGCTAAGTATGGGCAGGTCACCCAAAGAAAGTTCTTTACTTCCAACAATTATCACCTGCCAGAGTAGCACTCAGCCATCGATAAATTTAATTAGAGGCCTGAGTCCCAGTAGTTTACCCTGAAGTGATACCTGACTGCAGGAAGAACCACAAACTGAGATTATCCGAGCACCACCCAAGAACAGACCATCCAAAGAAAATGCCTAACATTCCAACCGCTATAGATAGGACCACCTACCAGCACATACTCACCAGGACACCCCTAGACAAATGTCAGCCATTCAGGAGTCCTGAACCTCAGAAACCCCTTACCCCCACCTTTACTACTATAAAACCCAGTCTAACTGAGCTCGGGGCTGTAATGATTGTTCTGTCTCGTTAAGAGACAAGCCACACCCACTCCCTTCCCCATCCTCTCTTTTCCATCTTCCTCCCTGAGAGGCCACTTCTGTCTCTCCTCTCTCTCTCTCTCTCTCTCTCTCTCTCTCTCTCTCTCTCTCTGCCTCTCTGTTCTTCTCCCCTTCTCCCTTCCCTTCCATAACCACTAAATAAATATCCAACCTCTCTCTATATGGCCTGCCACCGGGGACTAGCCACCTTTGGAGACCTGCCACGTGGTTGTAGTCTCGTGTGCCATCCCAACCTGGGACTGGCTGCTCTCGGGACCTCCTGCCCACTGCCTGCTGCAGCCAGGGATCCCACAGCAATTTTTAATTAATCCATTACAAGAGCTCTCTGTACATTCCAATACATTGGACATGTGGAGAGACTGAGTTTGCAAATTGCATACAATAAAGGCTCTTTGCTTTTACATATGAGACTCAGTCTCCTTGTTGGCTTTTGTTGGGACTTCAAGGATTTGGGCATAACATTTTGTCCCCAGCAAAAGTTCTCTTACTGCCCCAATTGGAGGAGAGGGGGATCACTCAGACTATTCACCCTGGCTTCATGGTGTACAGAAAGAGAAAAAAAAAACACTAAAGGGAAAGGCAGGAGGGGAGGGGTGGCCCCACATATGGAGCTTCCTGAGGGAGATTCATTGGTGCTCTGGAGCTTCTGGAAAGAGGGAACAGCACTTGCACCTCGTGTCCTTGCTAATGACGAGTTCTGGAACCTTTGTGCTTGGCCCATGACTGTCTGCATAAGCTGTTAGAGGAAACACGGAGAGTCAAGATACCTGCTGCATTACCAGGTTCTCATGCCCCAGGACAAAGAAATGAACCAAACCCATGGTGAGGTTGTTACAGGAGGAGCACTTTATTTAGGGGTGAAGGCATGCCTGAGGACAGGAGTGGACTGGTGACCTGGGGGAAGGCATGTGCTCTAAAGCACAGGGCTGGGGGTTCATGGATTATCTACATAGCAAACACTTTCTCTTGGGTTTGTGTTCTGTGGTTTCTTCTTTCTCATGCTTTGTTTCTGGTAGCCGAGTTGGGGAGGGCTTTCCAGTCTTTGTGATAACTGTCTTCTTCCATGTTTAGTCCAGAGGCCGTTCTCTCCAGTCTGTTTTTGGCACATCCTCTGGTCCCTGTCTCAGGTTCCAGTTGGACTCACTTGACCCCCTACTGTGCACACGAACCTGCCATGATCAGTCATAGGCCTGGGTCTCTGTTCCATGGACTTGACTGGACTCTTGCTGTCCTCTAACAGTGTCTAACCTGTCCTCATCTCTGTCTAGTTCCTATTCTCTGACCTCAGTATGTTTTGGGGGATGGAGAGACTAATTGGGAGATAAGCAGAGTGGTGTAGAATTTGTCGAGCTTCCCCATCTTCTCCTCCAGCTCTTGAGCCAGCTCCCTGAGAGCTTCAGCTGATTCTGACTGTGCCCCTTCGTACAGATGCTTTGACGTTTTCACAAGGCTGTCAGCATCTTGCAAGAGAGACACACCTGCCCTGGTGGCCCTCTTGATGCGAGCTTCATTGCTCATCGCCAGAGGGGTTCCTCTCAAGGTGGCCCTCACCCTTCTAGCACGCTGGTCGGGGATCTTTCCTGTTTTGGCGAGGATCCTGGCATCTTCTTCTAAGCGAGGGTTGTCTCTTACCAGCCTGAGGGCATCCATGTGTTGCTCAAGGGCTTCAAGATCTTTGGTGATATCTCTGGCAGCCTGAGGGAACTTGCTGGCAATCCTGGCCACGGCTGCTCCAGCCTCCAACACATCCATGCCAGTTGAATCATGGTGACCGGCTTCCACTTCATTCGAAAACCTGCTTGCTTCCTCCACGATGGAAGTAGCAACATTAGTCACAGTAGCTGCTACCCCCAGCCCCAAGCCAGTGGCAGAGAGCATCAGACTTCCCTCTGCTGTCACCGGTGCCAGAAACAGACCAAGGAGGCCCAGCATGTCGGAGAAGGTGCTGAAGGAGTCAGCCACTACGTTGGAGATGGCGCAGCCCCTGTGCAGCTCCTCAGTGCGGTCAGCCAGGGCGTGGAGCTGCCTGATGTGCTCCTCCACCTCTGCCTTCAGGTGAGGAAATGCTTTCAGAAACCTCTTCCTGCTCCGCAGGTCTTTCTGAAGTCTGTCTCTGTCTGCTAGGGCCGAGAGTGCTGACAGGTCCCCCAGCACTTTGTGAAGGGCCACTGCCTTATCCCTGTAAGAACAGAGGTCAAGTGCGTGAGAAAGAGGCCTCTTGTCTGTGTAAAATAGGCGGTCACAGCCACCCTGCAGCTATGTGTCCAGTAACCATCCAACAGGAACTCTAAAGGTGTGGAAGTTCCACTTTGGTGGGTGATATTAGGTATTTCAAAGACAAACTTTGTTGTCCTTAGTAGGGGGAGTCATCGTAAGAGCTGGAGAGACACTCAGTGGGGAAGGAGCTTGCCGTGTAAGTATGCAAGCTGGAGTCCCATCCCTCAAACACCATTAAAAAGAGCCAGACCCCGGGGCTGGTTTTGTAATCTCAGTGCTGGGGAGGCAGAGACAGGTGGACCCTGGGACTCACTGGCCATGTCGTCCAGGCTACTTGACAAATGAGAGTCCAGTGAGCAACTCTGCTTCAGAATCAAGGACAGTACCTACGGGACAGCTGAGGCTGTCCTCTGGCCTCTCCATGTACTATGCACACCTCGCACACACATGAACACACACATGTCTGCACATGTTTCATCATAGTCAATCTGAGTCAAGTTAGCGGTGGACATTGCAAAATCATGCTTAGCTATCAGGTAAACGCCATCACCTCCAGACAGATGTGCTGAAGGTTGGCTCATCGTCACTACCACCACCACCATGTGTGTGCTGAGGGGAGTCTGCAGATGAAAACAGAATCCCGAATGATATCAATGCTCCCTTCAATCACGGACTTTTTGTGTGCTGCAGAGAGATCATTTCCCCCAAAGACAAGATTTCTCATTGTCCTCAGCTGCTGGAATGTCCTCTACAGCCCTGGCCTGCCAGACAGGTGTGTTCACCTGAGCACTTCAGCCGTGAGACCACCTAACTTGAGCATCTCGAATCTGGAAGATTCTAAAGACCGGACCAGTCTTTGACCAGGACTACTTCCAAGTTCACATCTCTGCATTCTATTCACAGTTTAATCTTACTCAGGACCCAAAGTCAGACCCGAGGAGACACTGTACCCTGGTCTTCCTCTTTCCCATGTGACTGTTACCCGTTTTAAAACCACTTTGGCTATTCTGGTTGGTTTATTGAGGATGGGTGGTTTAACATGCCTTTTCGTGGCACAGACTGTGACCAGAATTTTGGTAGCACATGTGCGCGGTGGTCAGCAGCTGTCTCCCAGTCTTAAGCATAGGCTTAGCAGCTGTTACCAATCCATGTGTTTCTTTGGCTCTGCCCAAGTTCAGCCAAATTAGTAGTAAAAAATAATTCCATCAAAAAAACATAATGTCATCTGACCTTGACACGCGTGTCTGTGCCCATGTATTACACAAGTCTTACATACTATAATCCACTAATCAAAAATGAAGTGATCCTTTCCCTTGTGGGCACCATGTCCCCTCAATCTGATGCAGCTGCTTGCCAGGGACAGCGTGTTAGAGTTCTTTCCAAGGATTGTTGAGGAATGCCCTCGACTCCATCTCCTGGGACTGTCTGGAGTGTGTGAGCCTGCCCAGGAGAACCTGTCATGAAGGGGTTTGGGGCAGTGCTGGGGCATCCCATAGAGGTAACCTGGGCAACTTGGCCTTGGATACAAACGCCTCCCAGGCTCCATCTTCAGCCATCAGGCGGTGCAGGCCATCTCTGCCTGCCATGTTCTGGAGGTGCCCAGGGGCTTCGGTGGTGAAGAGTCTGCTCTTTGCGTGAAACAAAGAATGAAGTTAGAGACAAGTCAGAGGGGCTGAGGTGGCATGGGGCACAAGGTTCGTAGTGTCACAAGGTTCTTAGTGTTTGTTACATGCTGTTCTGCTGATGGATTCACCAGTGTTGTGGTGCTGTGTCCTTTGGTTTCTATGCAGTAGTCGTGAGGCCCTGTGTCTATATTTATAGGTAGAGTCTACATGAAGTGAAGCCATTTCAATGAAACAATATAAACCGAGTCCCTAATACACAGTCCCTGTGAAATCCCTCTTTTCCTCTTATCCTCCCTGCGTCCCCCTCTCTCTTTTTCTCCCTCTCCCTTCTGTTACTCTTCATACAAACACAGCAGCAGAGGCATCTGAACTTACAGTGAGCCTGCTCCCACTGCAAACGAGGCAGAGAGCCCTCACACTAACCAACCTGCCTCACCTTCCTCATTTACATTGGTGTCCATGCTCTGAGACCTCCCAGCCTCCTCCAGGGAGCTCAGTAAATATCTCTCTTGTAAACTGCATCCTTGCAGGGACTGTGTTACAGTCACATGGCCACATCGAGTCCCTGTGCCATGGCGGAAAGAATGAAGTACCTTTTATGCCAAATACACCTTGGTGAGTCCTTCTTGGGGTCTCTTTTATACAGGATATGGAGAGAGTCCATGGCACAACTGACTCACCTCCTGCAGCATATATCCAGACATTCCCGCTAGCCCTACACACCCACAGGCTTGATCTTATTGAAGGTTCTATCTACCCCTCCCTCCAGCCTTGCATCTCTGTGGTGAGTCCTCTGCACCACTGGGAACAACCATTCCAGGGACACTGAATGACAGGTGTGCCCCTGGGTCCTTGGTCTAGAGGACATCAACTGCACATGAACAAGTCACTTCTGTCTCTTGGAAGGAAGCTGTGAGGTGTCCCCACCTGGATAGCCAAAGGTTCTCTTCTCTATTAAGCCTTAGCAGCATGGGGTGTTCCCAGGAAGATGACATCTCTGACTTCCTACTGTGTGCAATAGCCACCACCATCGGCCCTCATTGTCCTCTACACAGAATTGGTTTTTCTCAGACTTGAGGTCAGTAACACAGTGACTAAGTGACTTGGTCCTGACCAACAAGGCACAAGAAGGATCGCGAGGAGTTTCTTGGGGCACTTGCTAAAGGCACGGTGTGTAGAAGACATGCAGTCCCTACCACTTCCCTCCTGCCTCACAGGTACAGGACTTCAGAGGCTGTCACCTGAAAAGTTGGAAATTCGGGCGACAGTAAGCATTGGTGAAGTGTGTGCATCGTGCATCTTATTGTTCTGTGTGAGTCTGTGCAGGAGAGATGACTCAGGGGTAGAGTTCTTGCCAAGCAGGCCCAGGCCCTGGAATTAATGCCTCGTACCACCAAAGTGAATAAATATATAAAATTTTGTCTTGCTCTACCTGTATTAAGCCCTCCATCTGGCCAACAGGACAGTGAGCCTTCTTGTATGAGTGACTCCCTGGTTATGTCCCAGAAAATGTGAGGATGAGCCTGTCCTTTTCTGCTCCTGGCCACTGAAGTCCCAGGCTGAGAGCCTGTGTTCTCCATCACTGTTCAAGCTCTCAGCACAGCATCTCTGGGTGTCTGTCTGACTTCTTCACTTGGGCAGAAGGGGTGAGGACATCACACTCCTCTCTGAGAATCTGTAATTCTCTCCCAGGGTCAGGTTCAGGACTTTGAACCTATCACAGAGGTTCCCAGCCTGCTGCAGGCTCTTCTAATTTCCTCAAACAACTTCCAGTTTTTTTCAGGCCTGCACTGGGCTGTTCCTCCCCATAAGATGCCTGCATCCTCCACCCACTGAAATCACCTAGGCCTCCTCTTTCTGGCTGGCTTCTGTATTCCCTCTGTGGACTGAACACAGTGTTTTCCTGGGCCCCTCTCTCCATTAGTCTTGGTCCAGCACCAGTGTCAGCCATGATCCCAGTAGTAGCCTAATGATGGTTCCAGAACCATCTCAGTGGGTACTGTTCTCCTGAGCCCACAGTGCCCCTGATCTGGGCTCTGGGAGACATTTATTGTACACAGAGTCACCAATCTCTGAGGACATGACGTCATTAAAGGATAATGAATGATTACTTTTTAATTTTCTCCTTCTTCCTCCTCCTCCCCTCATTTTATCTTCCCAATGCTTCTAGAACATTCTCCTCGTCAACAGGCATACAGGACTAAAACCCCTCCCTCAACACACACCTGAAGCCTGACCTTTCACTTTGTGATTAACACACAGCTCAGTGAGCTGTTTACCTGATTGTTCACATTTTCCTTTCCTGCCCCAACGCTGACGTCCTTCCCCCAGCTAATACACAGGGAACCATTTCTCTCTCCTCCATCCCCTACAGACTGGACAGAGGTCAGAGGACGCCCAGGGGAGGCGGGCCGGTGACCCACCTGCTCAGCCTCTTCACAGACTCCTTAGCAAAACCCACTCCCTAGGTCCTCAGCTTCCCCATGGCATGACAGAGATGCATACTCAGAGACAGTTGGTGGCACAATCTCCGGGTTTCCTGTATCTCTAAGTCAGCATTTGTCCCCAGCTGGTCTAGGCAGCCACAGTCCTGGCCCACCATCAGGATGCTATCAAAGACCAGCGAGTTCTGAGTCTCCTGCCCTCCTCCACATTCTTCAGTTTCCCCATTTCCCCAGCTGCTGGATACCCATAATCTGCTTTCTGTCAGGAGTCTGCTGTCCTGACCCTAGCATCCTAGCCCCTGAGCCGAGCCCCAGACCACATGCTGACCCCATCTGAGGGTTTGCCCATCCTTTCTTATGTTTAGTGCAGAGAAAGATCCAGATGCCAACCTGGCTGCAGGTTCTTCTGAACTCTGGGCTGGAGATGATGCCTGAGTTCACTGGGTTCATCCCTACAATGAGGCAATTATCCCTCTTTCCCCAGGTAAAACTGTGAGGATGTGGAGATAGAGCAGCCAAGGAGGCTCAACTTACCAAGGAGTCTCTCCAGGGATGAGTTTGTTCAGGACTCAGATGTCCTTAGCTGTGTAGATTCGGTCACCAGCTGTATATCTGAGTCAGAAGGAGCAGCAGCCTCTGGCCTGATGGACCCAGCTGGGAAATGGAAAGCAAAAGTCTCACCTGGGCAGCCCTGATCCAATCAACACACTGGAATGGACACTTGGAGGGCGCCACCCACAGCCCCGCCCACCTTGCTGAGTCAACAGAGTGACCTCAGCTTAACACTCCCAATTCTGCTCTGGCCAACCCATCTCTGGTGGGTTCCCCACGGCGGGAAGATATACCACCACAAACTGGGGAGTCCTCCACAGATCACCCCAGTCCCTTGTTGCTCTGCAAGCCTCCCCAGTGCTCTAGCAACCCCCTTCCCATCCCCTACTGCACTTCAGCAGAATGTCCCTGTCCCTGATATTTGAAGAGGACAGCACTGCTGATGGTGGCAGGCACGGTGCTTAGACCCATTCCTGTGTGGAAACTTCTGCCTTATGTTTGTGCTCTGTGCTCAGATTCATCACACAGAACCTCTGAGATAGCCCAGCAGCTTTCACGGCAGACTCTCTGGCTCCCAGATTGGCTCCCATGACCCCTTGCATAGGGGGCCAAAGCCCACTGCAAACAGAAAATTTGAGTCTACAGCAGGTGGTGATGACTGTGGAACATCTCAGCTTTGCTCCAGGCCACCTGAGATTTAAACAAGGCTGGACCTCATCGGCCAACGAACCCTTGTGTCAGGACAGGTTCCATTCCACTCATGTGTCCTTGGAGCTTGGTGGCCATCCTCACCCTTGAGAGAAGGACAGCAGGTGACATGGCCTCTCCACACTACTGCTGCCAGCACGCTTACTTCCACATTGGACTGGAGTTTATTCATCATCCTTATTATCCAGCTCTTTCCTGGTTTATAACAGACAGCAGTGATTGTGTTAATATGGAGGGAGTGCTGTGACTTTCTGTTGAGGATACTGAGGCGTTGGCAGAGGTAATGTCTTACACTTCAGGATTCAGAGACTTTCCAAGCTCAAACCAAGGTTCAGCATTAGACATTAGACACGTGTAATCATACTTTCTTGCTGGAAGTTTTCTGGGGTCTCGGTAGTTCAGATCCCAGCATCCACATCGTGGGACTCACAACCTTCTGTAATTCCAGGTCCAGAGAAGCTGACAGTCTGTTACGATCTCTGTAGGCACTGTACACAAGCGGAGCACACAGAGACAAACAGGCACACACACAGACACAGACACACACAGACACAGACACACACACACACACACAGAGAGAGAGAGAGAGAGAGAGAAAGAGAGAGAGAGAAAGAGAGAGAGAAAACCAATAGAATTATAAAATGTAAAGTTATTTTTGCTGCTCTCTTTCTCCACACTCCCTTGCTCTGTCTCTTTTCCCTCCATCACCAAGGGTTTATCCTGACAGTGAGAAATTCGCAGTCAGGTGCGGATCATTAAAATGTCCCCAGACAGCTGAGTGACAGCCTGGAAGGGACTCTCAGAGCAGAGCATAGAATGAACCAGAACATTAATACACTCGTGAAGAGAGTCAACATGGAACAATAGGACAGTCTACAGATTTGCCTGAAAGAGAGAATTAAGGACATCAACCTCCAGGTAAACAAGGAGAGCCCATCCCACCTGGACATTCTGAAGAAAATGCTGAAAAATGGATAACAGACCAGTGGTATGACAGGAAATGTCATGCAGTGTGGACGCCACTCCAGAAGTGGGGGATAGCAAAAAGACCTTTGCTCCAGGTGCAACTGCAGCCATTGGGAGTGTGGCCTTAATGTAATGGGAAGCAACCCTGAGATGGCTTTGGGAGGAAGGGGTGATCACCAGCACCACCTAGTGGACCTCAGAGGGGTCTGCAGCCATGGGATCTGGGCTTCCTGGTTATTACAACCATCCAGTCCACACCATGGGGAGTATGCTCAATTCCAGCATGCTGGACACTGTACTAGGTCCCCAAAACATCGATCCACCTCTCTCCTCATCTCCCTTTCTCTAGGGACATCACATTTTAGGGACAGGTGTCTTTCAACTAACTATGTGAAATGGGGCATCTGAAGTCACTCAAGAGATTAAATATCCCAGGTCTGCAAAAACAGGGAAGAGAAGTACATTCCTTGTTCACAGCTCTGAGTGACCACAGGGAAACAGAATAGGCTGAGACTTCCCCCAGCCCTGAGTCTAGCCGACTGCCTGAATCCGAGAAGCCTATTTGTCTTTGCTCGGATGAGACAGCAGAGCCCAAATCACAAGCGCCAACTTCAAGGAGGATCATAGAGGAACTGTATGTAGAGGATGGCGTGTAACTCACAATTACCCTATTTCCATGACAAAATGCAGATAACTCACCTCAGTTTGACACACATATGCAGATCAGGGATGGCAGGTGTATCTACAGAGGGACCGCAGTAGCTCTGTGATTCCAGTTCAGACAGGATTTAGTGACTGACACAGAGCCTGTGGCTCATCTTCAGAACTCCTACTGAGCCCTGAGGATGGTGCCAGTGAGCTTTAAAGAGAGAGAGGATCCAGCTTCAAGTTCAATGGTGCCCAAGTAGGAGTGGGAGGAGAGAAAGGAGAGTCCATGAGAGTCCTTCCCCCTCCCCCTGCTGTTCCTCATAGAGGGACAAGGGCACCACTCACTCCTTAGTCACCAGAGAGACGGTTGGCCGGCGTCCCTCTCAGGCCATTATGTTTAAAATATCTCAAAATTTGGTCCTAGTCTCCACCTCCTTTGCTATCGTAGATGTAGGGAGATAGGGCCGCTGCTATTGATGCCAAAGCCAGTCCCCACATGAGGTGAGCCCCCAAGTCTTATACAGTAATTGGACAGCTGACAGATCTATTGGACTATCCTCGGGAAGTGTATACATACACTCCACCTGGAGAACCCGTTTTTGCAGAACTATGGGACAACTGTTCTTTGGATAAGTCACTGTCAATTCTGTAAAAATATGGGGAAATCATGGCATTTCTCCCTTCTATAGTATCCCTGCAGTGTTTAAACCGACTTTTCCTGTAGGGCAACTGATACCTCCCCCGACACCATAAAGCCACGGTGTGAAAAGGATTCACTCAAGTCCTTTTCTCATAGCCAAATTCTACAAAAAATGCTCCCCACACACTTTCATTATTGACAGTAGTCACTGATAAGTAAGGAGCCTCATACAGGAAGCAATATGTCTGCTCTAACAGGGAACACAGGAACGTGAAATCTACTGGTCTCCTGCTCTGACGTAACAGGTTACAAATATTCTGTATTACCCTTTACTTTGACTAACATAGGATCAGGAAATTAACTGTTTATACAGGAAAAAGGCCCGAGTCACTAAAACTAGTTTCAGAGAGAAAAATTCTCACCCGGGCACCCTGCTTTTGCAGTGGCACATGGGACTTTACCAACAGGCTGTCAGTGTTAAAAATGGGTCTGGCATCCTGGGTGTCAGTGAGACAGATGTTAGTTTTCAGGCATCTGTATGGGCCTTGGGGTCCTGACAGGATCCGTCCTCAGTGCAGTCACTAAGAGCTCCTGTGTACATTCGCTATGTTCCATTTTAAATAGTGGGCCTGCTCACAACCTCCCACCCCGTCTCTTCTGCTGCTCCTGTCCCCAGAGACTGGTCTCCCCCTTCTTCTTCCTCCATCTCCCATTCGCTTTCCCCCAACAAACACCCTCCACGTGAGCTCTGTGGCATGGCATCTTTCTCATTCTTGCTGCTATTACAACACTGGAAAATTCTGCAAAGAGAAGTCATGTCATGCAACAAGGCTCACACAGGAGGTTTATTGGAAGAAGAGAGAGAGGGGCAGAGGGGGGCAGAGGCCGTTCCCTGTGGACAAGAGTGGTGAAAGAGAAAGAGAGATACAGAAAGAGAGAGAGAGAGAGAGAGAGAGAGAGAGAGAGAGAGAGAGAGAGATGGTAGGTGGGTAAGGCCCACTGTTTAAAAGGGAATGTAACAGATGTGACCAGGAGGTGCTCTTAGTGGCTGCAGCTGAGGATGTATCCTGCCAGGACCTTAAGGGCAGGACCTTAAGGGCAGGCCAGTGCAGATGCCTGAGTACTAACGACAGGAGCAGCCACTTTCTGGCTCTGGTGAATGTCACCATTATCGTGCTCAGGACACAAACTCTCCCACTAATCCCTGGAGGTCACCAGGCTCCCGGCTTCCCTTGACCTCACATCACCCATAGCTCCCCATTAAAGACTATGGCAGGTGGGATTCCAACACTTCCTATCCATTTCTTCTGTCCCATGCCGCCTTCTTTTGTATGGTTGACTGTTCTATCCATTTTTCCTGAGCGATAAATGATATTTATTCAGCCCAAGTCTTTAGAGCATCAGGCAGTCAGAGTCAGGTGATCTGAGACATTGTCTAGGCCAGCACCTCATTCCCAGCTCTGGAAGAAGCTGAGGCTCATGGGCTGTACCCTCTGCTTTTTTCCAATTTCAGATAGCCTCAGTATCTTTTATAAATGATATTTAATTACATTTATTACTCATTGTGTGCATGTGTTTTGGAGGGAGGGAGTGGGTGCCATGGCAGGCTTAGGGGTGTCAGAGAACATCTTGAGGTGTTGGTGCTTACCTTCCACAACAGGGGTCCCCCAGGATCAAGTTCACATCTCCATGTTTGGAGGAAAGTACCTTCATTCTTTGAGCCATCCTGCCAGGCCAAAGCCGTGTCTTCTGACCCCGAAGGGGTTGCACACTACACACCACAAATTGTTTGGCTTCTGGTAAAATCTATCTGCACTCACCGGGCCCTGAATGTGCTGCTGTGGAAAAGCTGAGCAGTAGAGAATCAGGCAGTACAGAGAGCTGTGGAGCTCAGGGCTGTTCTCACTATCTGGCCTTGACCCAGCCAGTGCTCTGCAAAGTCCAGCCCAGACCTGGGTTTCTCACTGTTTCTATGGGCTGAAGCTCAGTGCTGAATTGGTTCCCTGTGCAGCCACCTGCAGAGGGCGCTTAGAGTGGAAATCCAGTGCAGTTAGGCATGCCTACAGAAGCAGGGCCGACAAGGTTCCAGCTGTTTCTGCCATGTCAGTTTGAAGAGATAGCTTTCCTAAGTGTTAGCCATTTCAAGGCCAGGGGGAGTGAAGGCACAGTTGGGTTTCAGGTGAAGTAAGAAGAACACAGGTCAGAGGTGAGCACTTTATCCTAAGTACATTAGAAGTGAAGTGTTAAATCTACACAATCCCAGAGCCCTTGAGGAGGAATTGTTATTTAAGCTTCACTGTGTACACAGTAGGTTGACTGCACCAGATGCCCATTAAAGGTGATAAATGTGCAACACGTGTTCCCTTCTCACCTTCATTGCCACTGCCCCAGCCCTGCACATGCGGATCCATTTTATTTTCATTGGTCCCTTAGGTGACCTGACCCCTGCCAAGGGCTCCACCCTCTCTGCTGTCACCCCTACTACCACCCTCAACACCAACACCACCCCTGTCACCATCCAGAGGTCACTTTCCGATGGGCAAAGCGTGGGTTGGTGCCATGCAGGACACCCTCAGACACCTGAACTGAACACAGACCCCTCCAGGGGCAGCAGCTGCAGGCGCAGTCCTGTTGCCTGTCACTTGTGTTCAGCAGGGACAGACCTGGTCACAGCTCCTCCTCTGCACCGTCCTTCTTGCACCCTGTCTGTCTCCCTTGTCCTTTTCTGGAGCCTCTACTCATCTGTGAACCTCACTGGTCTCTTTCCATAGCCTTTTCTTTTGTTAAGAGGACTTCTAATACCTGAGATACATTATCACATTGCATACATTCATTTTAAGTTCTTTTAAAATGTATCTCTAATTTAAAAATATGCTGCTACCTACTAGAACACTTTCACCACCCATGAAGTAATGCTGTATCTAAGAGAAGTGCCAATGGGCTGTGTCAATTCTCACCGACACCCACCATGCTTGTTTGTCTCTTTTGTTAAGGGAGGTATGTTCCTGGTGGGGAGAACCATGAAGTGACAGTAACTGTCAGCAATTGGGGCAAGAGCAATTTCTTTGCCCACATGGTCAGCTTTTGCTATAAAGAAAGCTAACTCCATATGGAATTTCTTCAATGCCCATCATCTTCTCTAAAGTAGATTGGTGCTGCCAGGAGCAGATGTGTTTCACTGTCATGAAAAGTCTTAAACTGTTAAACCTATTAAGTGTCATATTCTGTAGGTCTTTGAAG